TTGACATAATATTTTATCCTCCATTAAATTCGATAGTAAGCTTGACAATCACAATATCAAAATCTTTAACAATACAATTTTTAGTATTAATCAAAAATATTTCAATAATTATTGTAAGTTCTTCAAACGGAGTGTGCATTAATTTAGGTAGGTACTAAATGGAGTGATTTAAGTTTTATACTTAAACTCAATATAATATGCTGAACACAAACACAAACTTATATATACATACGGACGTCAGACGAATTCGGTAAAATTTCAAAAGTACTTTGGTTAAAATCAATAAGCGTTTGTGCTGTATTCGGTGTACCTATTGGCATACAGCACAACAAGTTAAAACTATTAGTCGACTGAATTAATTAGTCTTACATTAGCTTAGATTTCGCATGTATTTTTAATTAATAGTTATCTGTGTTCATCGACTAGATTAAATTTGTAAAAAAAAAAAATCATTAGTGATAAATTATTTTGTGAGTCGCACATTATCATTAATTTTTGTTTTGCAAATACATTTTTTTCTAGTATATTTAAAAAGGTTAAACTATGTATTATCAACTTAATTTCGCTATCCTGCCCTTAAATAATTAATTATCAACAAAAAAACCAGGTGCCATAATTGACACTAGTTAATGGAACTAAATTATATTTATTGGTAAACCTACTAGTTAAATAGTTTTACAACAAAAATAATATGTCAAACATATAATTAGATCTTAATGTATTTAATTTATATCAGACCACCACAGTATAATAAATACAACATACTAGTACCATAACATACCACCTATTTTTTATCTAATTTTTAGTAATTATTGTTAAAAACTTTAATTAATACGCTACGCAGTTAATCTTAAATATCGCTCACGCGACGAAAATACATTGATATAATAATATAAGTTAATTTAATTTATATACTATTATATTTATCTAATTTAAACATTTCCTAATGTTGAAATTGACTCTGTGAACCCTTACTTATTTTTATATGATATTATAAATAATTATAAAATATGAAATACTATTTAATTTTCTTATTTAATATTACAAGAAGTAAACAATTTGAAGTCGACTAGCTTATTTATTTTTTAATTTTTAATAATTAGTACAATTGGAGTATAGTTATTAATGAAAAATCGACTGAAATAAAAAAAGTCTAATATACATTATATATTTTTTTACCATGATATCAGAATCGTTTTTTATTAAAATAGAACTAATAAATATTACTAGAAAACAGAAAACGCCACTATAATCTTTCCTTCAAAACCCTTTAGTTTAAAATTTGTATTTTAAGGTTATTTTCAATTTCAAATGAAATCGGAGAATGTTTCAACGATATCTTTTAAAATTCAAAGAAAAAACGTTTACAAAAGTAAAAAAAAATTAAAGTATCGCATGAGAAACATAATACATTATATTTTTAGTGCACCTGTTCCATGATCCTTAGGGTTATAAAACAACATGTTACGAATTTTTAGAAACCCTTACAAACCCTTTTTTGTTAATATTGCCGGTAGGATAAAAAGGAATATATAAATATATTTTTCTTTCTTAACTTATCAAGTTTCTGTAAAGTCATACGTTAATTTTTGCAAATAGTATCCAGTATAAAATTCACTATACCAAATTTAAATTTTGTAAATGATTTTTTCTTCAAATTGTGACAAGCACGTTAGAGAGACATTAGAATTTCTCAGTATAATTTATATTAAATAGACCATGTGCTAATATTTATCAAGTGCATTTTGAGTTTTCTAATTATATTTAAATCAACAAAAAAATTAATTCATATCAATACGTTTTAAGTATATGTAAAACAATGTAAAATCAATGTATTTATTACAATAGTAATACCAGAACTTAATAATATAAGTAATAAATGGGAAAAGAGTTTCCCATTGAAACAAGTTCACGTATATTGTGAAGATTGTAGAATTATTTAAATTTGTACACTAACGCAAAAGCCTTTTTTTAGGGAAACAAAAAGTAAACTCCAGTTAAACGGTACTTAGTGAAATCCACCTAATGCCAGTAAAAACGTAGGTAGGTCCTTTGCAAAAACTACCGAGCAAAAAACAAAAACGATAATTAATTAAATGCCGTGCGGCCAGACTAAGTAGGTGATATTATTTATACCGGGCTTTTAACAATTGTGGTGTTACAGACCTTATTCATTTCTACATAAAGCATTAACTGAGGAAACGAGAATATTTGTCTGCGTTAAGATAAAAACAAACAAATCATGTGTTTGAATTATGGGCAGGGTAAAAAATACCTTAAGTCCCAACACTAAGCATGAAAAAGTGAAATAAATAAATCGTTTTCATCCGTTCTAGGGGAAAAGGGTTTTGATATTGTTTTTAGGTAGTCAACTTACACGGACAGTACTATTATATCTAAAGAATATTCCATACAAATTCGGAATTAATTAAAAAAAAAGGTAAGTTGAAAAATATATACATTTTTTATTTTTGGGTGTTTTTCTCTATTTTGAAGTGGAAATGGTGAACTTTTTATATTTTTGGCACAATACAATACAATACTTTCAAGTACAAATTACTGATCTACGGATTTACTACGTGAAAACATTCGGTTTAAAAGGTATATCAATATCAGAAGACACGAAAATAAAAACACATCATTGGAAAAATTTGAATACATTCACAGCTACGCATTGAAGAGTAATATAATTCAAAAATAAGTTAATCAATTAGTTTTTCTTTTTGTTATTGCCAAATTGAAAAATAATTATTGTTTTGTTTTGAACTTTACAGGCTACAAAATAAGTACTATGTTTATTGAACATTGTGTTGTTTAACTTTGAAACATTGTTTTTTCGGTAATAATAATTTACTTTTACGTTTGGGCAATGTTAGTTATTATTAAATTAACTACATGAACGCGTTTTATTAAAATTTAAATTTTCAAACAGCCAGTTTTTAAACGACAATAAAACGATTTTTTTATGTACAAAGAGCATGGAACATTAATTAAATTACAATTGTATGTTTATGTAATTTTTTTTAACCATTTTTGAATTTCCCACGGGCAACAGCATTAATATATCAATAGTAGTTATTTATTATTGTAAGACCATAAAAAGAGAAAATAAATAAATAAAAAAACGAGTTTGAAATTAATTGAGTTAGATACACTTTTTTTGTTACAAAAATAGACATGTAAAAAAAGAAAACGTTGTTTTAATGGAAAGTTAAATTGGTAAAAACTACACTGCAGTGCGATATGGTATCCTTATCCGATTTTATAATCACCTTATACTATCATACAACCGTGCACAATGTAAGTACATGTTTTAATCTTATATACGCAATCAAAATCAACAATATCACGTGATTTCCTTCGAAGGCTGTTGTAGTGCTATACCGTTCTATCCCGTTCGAATCATATTAAATCGTGACCACCGGCTTCTAGGAAGGGTAGAGCTTGCAACATTTCCATTGTTAGGTTTATCCCGGTTCTACTGCAATTCCCACGGGTTTACCGTTTAGGTTATGTACACTGCCACAGCTGTATGAATAAAGAGATATGAAATGCAACTTAATTTATTTTCAACCCTAAATGTATGTTGCGTTTCGCCTCTTTAACCTGAAGTGATTGTGTGCTGGTTTAGTTGCCTCCCACAAAGTCCTTGAACCAATTATGTATTATTTATTATTGCTATGTAATCTAACAGCCCTTGCAATGCCAAACCGCACAAGCAGTTGTTTGTGTAACATTGTTTTTATCGTTAATTAACGATAAAAGTTTATATTATTACAAATTGGGGTTTTTGGTTTTATCGTTCAAATTAAACGGACCAATCACGGGCCACTAAATAATGTGTATGCAACCACTTTGAATGTCTATTGATTCATTAGGGGTTTGGCGAAAGTTTATGCAAGTTTAAAAAGTTTATGAAAAGCAGGCATAGACAACTAGAATCGCGGTAGGCTGCCGTTTTTTCAGCTTAACTTCAGTCTGATGCTACTGACGTTGGCTGGCTTAACGCACAATAGCCATGTGCACAGTGCACAATAATAATAAGCCTTGGTACAATTTTTTTATCATTCGGTTATTAGTTTTATCAGTTTCTGAATTGGTCTTATATATTTTTTAAATTTATTGTTTTAGTTAGTTTGACTTTCACGGTCCGAAGTCTGAGGACCCTCGGCTGAATAAACTATCTGGAAACAAAGTAAAAATGAAACCTTTTTTCTAGGCACGAATACCAACTGATCACCAAGTTTGGTGTTTGGTTAATCTGGATTGATAACAAAACTTACATCCGGATTGCTAGGACTTGGCCGGATACTGGATTGTGTATCCAATCTGAGAAATAAGTGGTGATGTTTTTCAATCATAAAACGCTTGATTTGCTTGGAGTAAGTTTGACTAACTTGGTGCCGGTGTGATAAGCGATTTTAAATTCTAGTTGCGACGTTCAGGCTCCACTGATGACAACGCATTGAACGGTTCTTGTGGGGTTCAAATTTTACAACGTCAAGCGCTAATAAGCACTTGATAATTAATAAGACAATGAGCATTCTCAAGCCTCTACATACATCGCGCCTTTGCCAAGACGCCAAAGGAGATCCGAATTTGTCAAATTCAAAGTGGTCTGCGGACGTTGTAGGTCTGAAAGTGGCTTGAGCGCGTCCTAACACAGAAACACGCGTACAAATAGGTCGACCATGGAACTTCGGAGAAATTTACTTGGTGTGTGTACGATCCATGTAAAGCGGTTCAGCCGCAAGATGAAAAGTGCGATTTTTTCTCACCGTTTTTCCATCCCGGCCGCAATCGTTCGTGCCCTTCGCAAGTGTACAGCCGGCACGCCGGTGTCCAACGTGTCGCCCTCTGTGTGCGAACCGATGCGGGAGACGCACCCGGGACGAGAGGGTGCACGAGCCAAAACGAGCCGTCCGTTTGCGCAAGTTCAACCGCACCCGGTAATATCGAACTCTCGTCGTGGGGCCGCCGCCGCCAGAGACTTCGCCGGCGTCGTCCATGAGAAATTTCAGACAAGTGTGCCCATCGTCCCTGCCGTGTGCGACACATGCCTCTGGTCTGCCGCCCCGAACAGTCGTCGCCGTCGCCGCCACTGCCGCCACCGCCGCCACTACCGCAATCGTCAATCGTCCGCGTCCCGTCGGTGATCCAATTATGGTAAGTTTATAGAGAAAAAAAAAATATATATATATGTATAAAAATGATTTCAATCATTTTTTTTTTACTTAGTTTTTTCGTTGATCTTAACTGATAACCCCAGAAAACGCAAGGTCTTGCGGTACCCGACCGGTGTAATAATAAAGTTTCTTCTATAAACACTCAGTGGTGAATTAAAGGCCACACGTGGAATGTCAATCTGATTGAAAAAAAAATTAATAAAAAAAAAGAGCTGCAGAACCAGCTCGAAAATCTGTCAGCCTTATCTTAACATTTAAAGTACACGTGCACCAGTGCAGTACAAATAACAAACTATAATATGTACATTAAGCGCCTCAAAGTAATTGTATTTTCCACAAGTCGTATTCCCCTTGGACTTTCAAGTAACCTTATTAACTCTCTTCGTCGATATAATAATATATTCAATACAGTAATGACTGATGTGTTTGTTGGTGTAGTACTGGCAGTGAAACGCTTGTAATGTAAACACGAGAGACCTTAACCTAACGCAACATCGATTAACAGTAATAGGCCGTTACAGTTATTAATTATAAGATTATGTTTTGTTTATTTGTTTTGAAAACGCAGAGCGGTAGGTGAAGGTAATGCATGTAATATAGAACCTAACCTTTAGGCTTTAAATAAATGCCTAGCCGGTACTGTTTAGGAAATAATTCGTTTAAACCGCCAGATATTTGAATGTAATATTATTATCAGCCGACCAACCGATCGGTAAAAAGTGTCCTGTGTCGCGATTAACAAGTACAAGTAGTTTTTAACAACAATATTGTTATCGTACAGTTTTTATCTCGGCAGGTTAAAATTTGAAACGCGAGTTATCACGGGTATTGCAGTTGATTAAAACCATATTTCTGAAATAATTTTGTTTATCCAAATAAGTTATTATCACAAGTAGGTACGTTATTAACAATAACATACCTACTTGTGATAAAACCGCTTTGGCAACTGACTGAAATCAGCCGTCCGCGGTCCGAACGTTTCCGCATGACTATTTTTAGCATTGTCATTATAATTTTTAAAATGATTTATTTATTCGTACGGTATTAGATGTAGAATTTTACAAAACATAACATATTGATAATGAGAATGTACGAAATCGACAATTTAAGTTAATTAAATAATTTAGTTTACAAAGTAGAAGGTAATATATAGTTTTAAAATGAGAATAGGATAAGGATTATCGCTTTCCTTATCCCACACCGCAACTGAACAAATAGTTTGAACTATATAGATTAAAGTATGCACGATGATCTAATCGGAATAACTGCTACGTTGTACTTTTTAACAGCTAAAACATATATAATCGTTATATATTTCTTAAAGTTGATACCTAACAAATAATTTGATTAAAAAAAAAAAATCCTTGAACAAATTTAACAGGTTAAAATGTTGACTTGACCCGGAAAACTGAGAACTAAACTATACAACAGTCACTCTGCGACACACTATGGTGATGTATAGTTAGACAATGTTAATGCAAAGCCGTCTAAATGCACCAATAGATAAAGCTTTTTTTCTTTAGCGGCCACACCGATATAATTCTGAATTTCATTATCGTAAAACTGTTACAAAAGACAAAATAAAAATAAAAGTCAAATCAATATTCAAATATTGTGCATAAAGTTTTTTACAATGTATACTTAAAGTAATCGAAGAATACACAGACAGTTAAAATCGAAACAGCTGATTAATAAACTATGGTAGTAAAAAAAACGTATGCATAATACAACTCAAGTACCTAAGTTAGATACTTGTCAATAAAAGTTCATTTGAATTTAGATTACCTTCTTTTCATTAACCTTTTATAGCTGAAGATATAAACATGGGAAATGTCTGCCGTTAAAATTATATACTTTTTTACCGATTAAAGCGTTTATATTGATTATTCTTTGAAATCGAGTTTACTTTTTATTAAATGATTTTTCAAAGGCAAAATAAAATCGTTTTATCACTTTTTGAATTTAATAATGGTGCATATTCAGAACGATGTTTAGATTAATTGGTCTTAAGTCGTTAAAAATTCAATATTTAAATAATTTAAATGTTCGCCAATCAGATTGCCATTGATAACGATATATGATAGTAGTTAAAGTCCAGAAATGCACGCATTACATGTGACGGAAATATGCACGTATTTTTTGGACACAAAATACCTATAGAGATTGTATAACACGCATAGATGTAAAATATATATGCTGTTAAAATTTGTTTCGCAATCTAAAACTGATTTACTTAAATACATCACGGTGATAAAAATATTTAAACAAATTTTGTTGTATAATAGACTACAATACAATTATTTTAATTTTACTAGTAAGTTAACATTTTATTAAAAAAAAGAAGCATATTTGCTTTTAAAAAGTTTGATTTATTATTATAATCTATAATTATATGCAATCAATATGGAATGTCTTCAAAAATATGCGTACTAATGAAACTATAGTTTGTCAAATTTAATTCTTCAGGTTATAAAAAGCAGGTGTACTAAAATGTATTTTGATTTAATTCCCACGCCATAACCTTATCATTGCTGCTATATATTTATATTTTAATTTTTCATGCATAGTAATATTCTAGTTGAACGTTCGAACGATAAATATGTATTTTCAATATTTAATTTGTTCCGTTTCTTCATACTCTATTAGATAATTCTGGAACAGACGATGCATTAAATTCACAATACATTTAACCTCATTCCGCATCGTGGAAGTCAACCAAAGCGGAACTCTGAGTTAGGTCAAATCCTTAACAACCGTTGGTACCAAAATACTATTCCATAATTCATGTAATGTGGGAATCAAAAATAAGTTATATATATATATATATATAGCTATTGTAAAGCTTACGGTTAAACGTCAACCAGGCTTGTATCTATGTTTTGTACATTATGGATGTGTCTAAAATCTATCTAAAATCAGCGAAAACAACTGCCAGAGAATGAATTTATTAACAACCTAGTTTCACTCAGTACCTACTAATTAAAATATAGTAATCTAACGCATCCGCTAATAGCAAAATAGACAATGCGATTTACTATTATAGCTAAAGTTCACTCATTTTTGCACAGCCAATTAAAATGTATTCGCTCTATGATTGGATTGCCATAATCATCGTTAATTATTTTTTTTTAATGATATAGGTATATTTTATTTTAACGCGGTTCAATTGCCGATAGACGTGTATATTATACGTTTTCCCGAGAGTATGGTTAATTATCGACGCTGTTCCATGACGATTACAAAATGTACTCATATCGAAGTTTGGTTACGAGTATACACTACCGTGTACATATAAAATATATGTTTAGTACCTTAAATGTAAGTTAAAAAAAAAAATGCCATAAAATCGGTACAAATCTCTACACGAAATCCCCGTTTTTTTCTGGCGGTTATCATTTCTCTCTCTCACCCTAAAGGTTAGAGTTCGGAGAAATAGATTGGTTCACCGGATTTTTTATTTTTATTATTTTTTAAATCGGCTGCCGTTCAGTGAAATATGTAACATTTCCGAAAAGGCAGGAGGGAGGAGAATCGCATGAAAAACCGCATAAATTATCCGAATACAGAAAATTCCCCGGAGGTGGTGCGGCAATAAATAACAATGCCGAGGTGATTTGCGGCTAGTTAACTTTTTGAATTTATGGATAAAACGGTGGCAGGTTGTCGACGCAACTAATTTTTTTCTGAACGAAACCCGTAAAATCCAATAACACACGGTTTAAGTAAACGGCATGGCATGGAGCTGGCGAATCTTCTGTCCTGGAATCGGTCCAACACACAGCAAACGTTTTTATCTGCAACACGCACCACTTGATTCACGGCTCTTTGTGGTTCACCACGCTCAAAGAATAGCCGCAAATGTGGAGACAATACGATAATATAGGATAATACTACAGTGCATTTATTGCTATAACAATTCCATATACAGTCTGAGATAAAATTATTATTATATAATATAAAATACGATTTTGTTAACCAAACGCTAAACGGTAGGTTTTAGGTCATATATAATGTGTGAAAAAATTGCTTAAGTCTGTGTGACCTATATGCTTATTACTAGGGATATCTTAAAACTTATGATACTCCATAGAATAAATTAAAATATATTATAATATATTATTTTCCAAAATAAAAAGGGTTTCATATTATATCTTACACTCATTTTATTCGATTATTTATCTAATACAACATTTTAATTTATAACAAGTACCATACAGTTTTTAATGTTATAAGACAAAGAATAGTTTGAAAACAAATTACAATTTAAAGATGTTATTGAATTCGTTTTTTTTTTTGTGAAATCTATTCCGTTTATTCAGTAAATAGGTAAATATCGCCAACATAAAACTTCTAAAAAATGACAAAAAACTATAGTAATCGTTTCGTTAAAAATGTCTTATATAAACTGTCATTTTAAAATACATAGTTCAATATTAATATCTTAAGAAAAAAGTCTATCGTTTGACTCAGCAACCTTGCCAAAATTAACGTTAATTTAAAATGTTGCGTGTGACAATTAATAATAAAACATGAGTTAAACTTCAAAGCAGGCGATTTCAAAGTTATACTATTTGAGGTGGTAGTGAAGTGTACTTTCATACCATTTCCATTTTTAAAACATAATATATATTTTTATAATATCGTAAAAGTAATAAACTACTACGTTTATTACTACCTAACCATTTGGCGGGAACAACGCCACAAAAAAAACATTAATTAAAACCACTTATAATATTGGTAGTTATTACAAATCAATAAACGCTATCACGTTTTTATAACTTTTTTGTTAATATATAATACGTCATTAAAGAAATGTTTTTTTTAAGCAAATTTTTATTGCTGTTTTTTGTTTATCCGAGATAGTGCGTTTATAAAAAAATCTCTAAATCTGTCGTGTCTTTATAGGCTATTATAATTTTATACAAGTCAATCGTAAAATAATTTTATGGTCCATGGATTTTGATTTTTAAAGTTTCTGAT